AACAAACATACATATATAGACTGTTAAACACATAACCCTGTCTGCGCGTCGCGCTTCGCGCTCTTGCATTGCGCAGCCGGGTAATGCGCGTCGCGCTTCGCGCTCTTGCATTGCGCAGCCGGGTAATAAACACATAACCCTGTCTGCGCGTCGCGCTTCGCGCTCTTGCATTGCGCAGCCGGGTAAAAAGTGCTTTCAATGTTAAACCCAAGCTTTGCAAATCATTATTAATTAATTTACCTTTCGTGGAATCTGTATAATAAAATAAAAGGCAACCATATAGGCACTGATACATCAAATGAACGCACATCTCAAATCACTGAACGGATTGCTTTGAAATTTAGCACATATATAGATATTATTAGCTGGCCCAGCGAACTTCGTACCGCCATAAAAATAAGGGCAAGTGGTAGAAGAGTGAAAATTTAGAGTTGTACTAGCTGACCCAGCGAACTTCGTACCGCCCTAAAAAATAGGGGTTGTCCAGCGGTAAAATTGTGAATCTAAACCGTTCTCAGATCCCCTTGAACACACACAAAAAATTTCATCAAAATCGGTCCAGTCGTTTAAGAGAAGTTCAGTGACAAACACACTCACAGAAGAATTATATATATAAAGATGTATTTTTTAATACCACATAATAAAAAAATAAATATTGTCAAAAAAAAACTTTTTAGGGGTGTGTAACGTAGTGTTCCATCAATTTCCTGGGATAACATTCCTCCTAACCCATATGAGAACACTACGTTACAATACCCAACAGTTAGAATTTTGGCTCACGGCGCATTGGAGGTTTCAGAACACTACGTTACAGGTGGACTACCCTTATCACTTAGGGATATGAAAAATAGATAGTAGCCGATTCTCAGACCCATGGAATATGCATATAAAATTTCATAAAAATCGGTCAGGCCGTTTCGAAGGAGTATGGTAACTAACATTGTGACACGAGAATTTTATATATAAGATAATGTAGGCGTTAAGGATTTTCCAAAACTCAATTCTTAAAGAGGTAAAACGAGGGTTAAAATTTTTTAAGAGAAACGAGTATTTCCACGCAGATGAACACCGACTAGTAATGAAACATCTTGTATCCCACATTTACAATTAGAAAGTTTTTGCAGTTAACAGTTTACCTAATGATCAAATAATGACAAAACTCCGTCTGATTACTACAATACGGCCATAAATTAAATAATAATAACCACTTTACCATGTTACATATTTTGTCAAGGTTTCAAAGCAAATTTCATGGACAAACTCCAAAAATGTATTCGCTCTATATTGATTGATTTAATTTGTTCAACCAAGTACGAATTCAAAAACAATAATATTGCACACAAAACACTTTTTAGAATAATTTTTCATATTCTTTGACATTAATGTTTATTTGAAATGAAATTATAAACAAATAGTTTTTGTTACCTCATTTGCAAATTATACATATCACAGACTAATTTCAAGAGCAGTTATTGTACATACTAAATAAGTATATTTTTTATTTTTCATGGAGCTGAAGAGTTTGTTTGTTTGGTTAAAAAGGGTAATTTTAGGTTTTAACAACTGGTTCGAATTGAAAAATCGATTTTGCTGAAGGAAGGCTTAAAGCCATATAACATCACACTATAACCAAGAGGAGCCAAGCATCAATAAAAAAAATGCAGAAATGGGAGCATAAAACCTTTTTGAGATCTTCCATTGCGGGCGATGCGTAAACGGTAGAAGTTACGCTAAAATCAAAGTTCTATATCATTGTTACTCTCAAATTAGGATTTTTGAACAGAATACTTCAATTCATACGATAAATTTAAAATGTAACTTACCGCTTCTGCAAAATATAAATATCAGAGGCAGTATTATCTGCTTAAGCCACGGCACACCTTCCTACTCTTCACAATTCACATTCATTTGTTTATTTTTTATCTTTTATGACGCTCTAAAAAGTGTTCTTTTTCCCACATCTGGGCATATTTAGATAGTATTGAGTTAAATCTGCGATACTTTTGTTTGTGAGAACAATGAGGGCATTTCGTTTACCACCGGCGATGATCGAGTCTAATGCTCGAGACTGATAACAAAATAACAAAGAAAAGTTTTTTAAAAACTAAGTTTTTACAAGAAATACTTGCACATCAAATAATAGAGAAATATTGTAAGCCAGTAATACCATATTTATAGGTAAAAATCTCTAGTAATGCAGTAAGCTATAAAATTGAAAAGATTTAAATTAACAGTTGCTATATAAAATTTGTTTCAAATATGCCATTAGATATTGGGGTGTAGTTGTGCATATATGAATATTTTTTTAAGATTAATTGATAAGTTAAAAACACACGTAAGTAGGTACAAATATAACTACGTCAGTGGCGGTACTTTCATTTGAGGTGAAGAATCCCGCTTATTCTAAATTAAACCCAAGCGCTACTCGTGAATCAAAATAATAATATAAAACAATTTATTATATAAAATATTATATAAAACAAATTATCTGTTGCTTCCTCCTTTTTGAAGTCTATTAAAAATGGCAATTTTCGTATGCCATCACATCATTGAAATAATTATTTTGAAACTATACAGACATGAACATATATTTGAGCTTCAAACTTGTCTTCAATCTGAAACCGGGACACGCCACTGAACAACGTCCGTAATACTATGAATTTGGACAGATTTTGGTATACAGAAAACAGTAAATAAGTAGATATTTTTTTTTCAGCATAAGTATTACTTTTGGGGTAATTTTTGGCAATAGTAGTATATTCCTCTTTCATATTAACAGAAATTTTACCACATCAGTACCGGATGCCGGTGACTTTGTATATAAATTATTAGCGGCACCTGCGACGCCGTGTTAACTTTAGTTTTTTCAGAATCGCTCAGGAACATAACATTTTTTTCAGGATAAAAATAAATCTAATTCTCAATCAAGGCAATAATCTTTTTATGTGTGCCAAATATCCTCCAAGTCTGCTGACCCGTTTTTGAGTGTTTGAGTAACAAACATACGAAATTTCTCATTTTTTATTCTTAGTAGGATAGTAGGAAAAGGATTATCACATCCTTCAAGTATAACTATCATGACAAAAAGTAACTTAAGTCATATGTCCTTAAGAACATAGACCCAGGAACTCTATTAACAGATATTCAATTTTCGTTTAGGTGGAAAAGATATAGTAGAAAACAAATAAAAATAAATATAGCATTTCTGAATTAGCCTTAGGTATCCCAAATTACCCTGTCACATTAGGTGTAAGTTACAATAAACCATTCTAATTTCTTTCAACAGCTTAAGATAGGGTTTGTTTTGTGAGTGATTCCAAACAAACTTCATGAAGCCCTCTCTAAAAAGTTTTTTAGTTTACCTGTTTTCGCAAGGGGGTGAGGGCACAGGTATATAAACAGTACACCGAACTATTTCGGTTTCCATCCTCCATTACCGCGATCTATATCGAGCCTCCGCGATTCCCACAGGTGCGCTTTTCTTCGACGTGGCGAAAGCATTTGACAAAGTCTGGCACAATGGCTTAATTTATAAGCTATACAAACTCGGTGTGCCGGATAGACTCGTGCTCATCATACGGGACTTTTTGTCGAATCGCTCGTTTCGCTATCGCGTCGAGGGAACGCTCTCCTCGCCTCGTCCAATACGCGCCGGAGTCCCTCAGGGCTCGCCACTCTCGCCTATCCTCTACTCGGTCTTTACGAACGACATGCCCAAGACTCCTAAGGTCGATCTCGCGCTTTTCGCCGACGACACCGCCCTCTATACCTCCGATAGACGTCTCGGAACAGTCTGTAATAGACTTCAATCAGCCGCTACCACCCTTGGCGATTAGTTCCGTAGATAGCGTATCGAGGTTAATCCGGAAAAAAGCGTCGCGATCCTCTTTAGCACGACACCACCCCCCACGCGATCTCTTCCGAGCATCCAACTGTTTGACCGGGTCATCCCCTGGGAGGACCCGGTCAAGTACTTGGGTGTTACGTTAGACAACCGATTAACGTTTGCACCTCATCTCAAGCAAATTCGCGATCGCGCAGCATTTATTCGCGGCAGGCTATTCCACCTTATAGGGAAGCGTAGTAAGTTGTCACTTAGACATAAGTTGACAATTTACAAAACTTGCATCCGCCCTATAATGACCTACGCGAGTGTTTGCTTCGCCCACGTACCCCCGTCGCGTCTTAAACCACTCCAAACGCTGCAAAATCGTGTGTTGCGCGGTGTCACGGGTTGCCCGTGGTACGTGCGCAACATCGATTTGCATCGCGATCTCAAATTAGACTCCATCGCGAAGTATATGAAGGACGCCTCGAGGCGTTACTTCGATAAAGCCGCGCATCACCCGAACCCCTTAGTAATAAAAGCGAGTAGTTATCATACGTCCGCCCTCCCGTCCTCCAATCGTAGGTCCCTCCGATTCCGTCGGCCTAGGCACGTCTTAGACTACCTAGACGACGAAATCACACGCGCCAACGCGCCTCCGACTCCTCCCACACAGGCCACAAACACCAACACTACACAGCTAGCAAACGTGCACACTAGCTTAGCATTAGGCAGACACCGCACCCGTAGGATAAGAGTGCGAAGACCCGGTCTACACACGACACGCTATACCAGGTACAGGTACGTACCGGGGCGTTTTTCCCCGCCCCCCACGACAACGGCTAACTAGAGCCGAGGTCCGAGTCTCAGAGACGCCCTCTAGTTGAGCCGACCCCCTCAGGTTCAAGTGGTCTGGAGGCTTCAGACGGAGTGGAGACTCCCCCCGGGGAGACGCCATCCGACTGGAATACCTCCAGAGGCACTCGCCAATTCTCGGCTTGAGGTCCCCTTAGGATCTCGCCGTCCCCAAACCCGGTGACGCTGTAAAGGTCATCTGCGACCAACAGCATACACACTCAAAAAAAAAAAAAAAAATTGTTATTTGCATACTGCTAGAGAGCCGTAGTCACTCTCTTCATTTTATTTTCGTTATTTTTTTTGAATTAACGGATGTATGTCCGATGATGAGGTGTGTGTTGTGTTCTGTTGCGTTATATTATTAGTTGTGTGTTTTAGTGAGTGTCAACTGAGATGTTATAAGGTATTTTGTAAATTGCAGAACAACCAGCCCCGCAAACGTGGCCGCCCGCCAGGAAAAAATAGGCCAGCATTGACTGAGGTTGGTACAGCCACTTCAGGCAATAACTTTACCTTAAAATGTTGTTATTAATATCAACATCGGTTATGTGCAGGATCAGAAACGCGCGCGCAATGCACAGCTGGAGCGGGTGCGACGCGGCGAAATAGCGGATGAAACGTCGAATCTCGCCACGGAGATGCGCGCCAAGCCCAAAGTAAGAACTATTTAAATAAAAGTAACGGTGTAGCTAGTGTATATAAACTTTATTAAAGATCACTACGTAATTTACTAAAATTGCAGATAAAGCTTGCAGAGTTGCTAGCGGAAAACCTCACGCATTTAATAAGTGAGCAGTCGAAAGAATCCGTCGAGGAGTTGGAAGCTACGAACCAAGCTCTGCGAAACGAGAGTAAGTCTATAAAAATATAATTTCTTCCTATTAAAAATATTGCCCTCTCGCTTCTTATATTGTATTCGATGCCTCGTTTTTGCAGTCCAGAAACTGAAACGCATCAAGGCTGAGTTGGACGCGGCAAGGGCTGCAGACCAGGGCACGCAGGAACCATCACCCAGTGTATGTATTGTTTCATTATATTCTTTAATGTAAGGAAAGAATGCTTGTTTTTTAATGTAAATATTGTCTATTGCAGGGTGTCGGCACTTCCGAGCTGCTTGACGCGGCTTCTTCGGACTTAGAGTCACCTTCACGGACGAGATTATCATCAGTAAGTAATTTGGGTACAAACTGTACCAAGCTGGCTTTATTATAATTATTTCATATTAGTGGGGCCATGCAGTCCTAATGGAACTAAAGTAACTGCAACCTAAAAGATCTTGTGACTCGTCACTGGTAAAGTAAAATTTTGTCTTTCAGCCTCAACAGCTTCCAAAAACCTTTAAACGTCTCTAGCTTTTAGAGATTTGATTTCCTATGGGTGTCATCCCAGATGGAAACTACGTTTGTGGTTAAAGAGGCCCATATTCACATAGGAGGCCTTTTTTGTGAGTGTGTATGCTGTTGGTAGCAGATGACCTTTACAGCGTCACCGGGTTTGGGGACGGCGAGATCCAAAAGGGACCTCAAGCCGAGAATTGGCGAGTGCCTCTAGAGGTATTCCAGGCGGATGGCATCTTCCAGCGGGAGGAGTCTCCTCTCCGTCTGGAGACTCTAGACCACTCGAAGCATAAAAGGCGTTTCGCACTCCTGATTGTAGTTTAAGCTGGTTTTGTAGGATATTTTTTACAATAGTTGTCGTCATGTGTGAGCAGGAGCAGCAGCCGGATGACGAGAAACCTCCACCGCTCCTACCTCCGACTCCAGCGCCAACCGCTCGCTCGTCATCCGAGACGGAGCCAGAGACCAGCCCGCCACACCTGCAACCCACCGATCGCGCTGAAGGTACTATCAATCTTTACATCTCCCATCGAAACTTTTTTTTATGTTAAAAGGTTGGCCAACAAGCATATGGCCCGCTTGTTGGTTAGCGGTCATCATAGCCTATAGAAGCCTGCCATACCTTACCTTACTCACCGGCAGAAACACAATACCACCCAAAAGGCAGTGTTGTTTACTTGTGTTCCTCTGTGAGGTGGATTCCCCAAACGGGCGCTTCAATTCAAGCGGGTAATCCGCTATGCTCTACCTCTCATAAGCTCCACTCTTTTTATAAAGTGTTGGTAAACATTGACATTGTTACGCAGAATGTGCTGGCTCTGTGCTGTCGCCGGAAGTGCTTCGGGATATAGGGGAACAACTAGGTGTAGATCTCGTTCGTCAGGTAACAAAACAACTCCATGATTACCAATATTTGATGTACCTACTTACCCAATTTAACCCATTCATATTTAGTTTCAGTTGGAGCCTTGGCCACCAGACGATGACTTCTTTGTGCCGCCGTAATACCATTAGCACTATCAACGTGCTCGTGCCCATGACTCAAGTGGGGTTGCGGCAATAACTAAGTAAGAACTTATAATAAGGAAAACAAAAAAAAATAACTCAACTTTTACTGACTTTGTTAGTAAAAGTAATTTTTGTTTCAAAATTTAAAAGATAATTTATTTGCCATAATTGCGTATGAATACTAAAATTAACACAAATGTATATTTATTTCAGAACAGAGAAGAATGTGACTACTAGAAGTTTTTTGTTAACGTGGAGACAAAATTGTGTCTGCGTAGATGCGTAGAAAGGATAACATGTATCTGAAAAAAATTCATACGTAATTAATTACAATAAAATTTCAGCGACGGGACAGATAAATCTACATCAATATTTAATTTGTTTCCGTGCATTACGGCATACAAAGTTTGTTTTGTTCAATTATAAGATACTCAGTGAATTTTTAATAAGTGCATATTGCCGTTTAGTTTCCCAACAAGTCCATACGAGATGTATTGACTTAGATGTCGTGTTATATATGTACAGGAGCAGCAGTAGGGGTCAGATGAGAAGCTCTGCAGCTGTGATCCCTTGGATGCAATAGTGAATCTGATGCGTTGAAGAATACATATCCAGGTATTTAATACTATCTTATACATATATATAAACAGCAATTGCTGTTCGTTAGTCTCGCTAAAACTCGAGAACGGCTGAACGGATTTATCTTATCTTGGTCTTGAAATGTTCGTAGAGGTCTAGGGAATGTTTAAAAGGTGAGAAAACATATAAAAATTGCGAGCAAGATGGTAAAAACGTCAATTTAATTATCCCATATAAACTGTTCTATCTTCTTTCCTGTCAAACATTTGACGTTCGTCCCTTTTGGTACGGTAGACTCGGGTCCGTTATTTCTTCCAAATTATTTTAACCCGTACGAAGTACGCGGGGTCAACTGGTATTTTATGTTTTAACAGACCCTAAAAAAGTGGAGATTATCAATTCGTCAGTAGTTACATATTAAAATTGTTTGCTCATATCTCCGTGATGCGTGGATCGATTTTGATGATTAATTTTATGTTTATATCAGTTTATTCGGCGAGATGGTCCATATTTATTTAGTAAAGATCTGATCTATAAGTAGATACTTAACTTAAATAACAAAAAAAAACAGACTTAATAAAAATACAACCACTAGAAAGTCATAAATAATACCTACTTACATGTTTCTGTTTACTTAAACTCCACTCGGCCTAGGTTAGAAATGAAATAATTTAATGTTTTATTTTACAGGACTTATTTAAATACAATTAATTTTCTTTTCAGGTACCTCCCGCGCCATCAAACATAATATTTTTTTAAGGCATATTTGTTTTAAAGGTTTGAAGCTAGTTTAAAGTAGATAAGAATACTTCAATTGTTTTACAATAGTTGGTTCTTTTGTGTATTCCTTGTGTTATTATTGTATAGATTTTTACCTAAATATTTACATTGTTATTAATTATGCACTTTATCTTTCTTTTACTATGATGTGTTTTTTAATAAAATGGTCACAAAGAATTAAAAAAAAATGTTTTATTTTTAATCAATGCAAAGGCATGGTGTAATAATATATACCTATACCTAATCATAAAATGAGTGGATGAAAAATTAAAGAATCATATTAAACCCGTTCATTTTCAATTTTATAGTCAATATATCAGAAATATTTCACAATGTAGGATTCTATTTTATTCTGAATGTCTAAAATTTACTTTTATACTTTAAATGGGGTCATAATATTATATTTCTTAAGGCAGACGTTGGGTACATTTTTACTGTAACACTTACTGTAATAAAACAATAAAACTACTTACAAGAAAACGAACATCATCATGCTATTGTGACACTACTGTCATACAAAATAATGAGCTTAATCCGTTAAGAGCATTTCTACAAATTCTCTTAACGGATTAAGCTCATTGTTTAAAATCATACCATTTTCACTCTCGGAGTATCCCTGGAGGACCACATCAGAAAATGATGTAATCCCACAGAGAACCAAAGTCACCGTCATAGCCCACCGAATTAGCAGACTGAAGTAGCAGTGGGCTGGTCACATTAGCCGCAGAACTGACGACCGTTGGAGCCGGAAAGTTCTTGAGTGGAGACCACGACTCGGTAAACGTAGTGTAGGACGCTCTGTGACAAGATGGCGTGATGACATTCGTAGGCTGGCTGGAGTGGGCGGGAGGAGAGTGGCAGAAAATCGGGAGCAGTGGCGTGCATTAGGGGAGACCTTTGTCCAGCAGTGGACGAGCATGGGTTGATGATGATGATGATGATAAATAATTTAGAACTCTATTTATCATACCCAACAATATAACTCTGCGTTGATAGAAATCTTCGGAGTGTGGAATTTTAGGGAAGACAAATAAGTTAGAATCGAAAAACAAGATGAACGAAAATAAGATGCGATCCACAATCACAAAAGATCCGTAATAATTGACATAAAATCAATAACAAGTCTTTCGAAGGTAGCTCGACAATTTTAAATAAAAAATCATTATTCTGACGATGCAGACCTGAAAAGGCTGCGAAACGTCAATAAATAAATAAAGTTTCGTGCATTAACCCGTAAAAACTAGTTTTATAAAATCACAGCTCACAGAGCCGCGAACTGCGGCGGATGGCGAAGAAGCCACGCCGCGTGGAAACGTGGATGTAGAGCGGTAATAACACGTTGACTGTAATGTTTTGATATGTACATTTAAACAAAGAACAAATAGTAAGATATTCATAACTAAAACCTAAATATATATATATATATAAAATACATTATTAAAAGGAGTCCCTTTAGGCAAGGTTCTGACGATATCGGCAGCGTCATTACATAAACCAATCAACATGCTTTTCATATACAAGGATTTAATTTTTTTAGAAGTATTTAGTACGTCTACTCACACCTACTCGTACCTCAACTGGAAACGAGAATTGGAAAGAGTTGAGAAGAAAACTTCAGCCTAATTGTTGTCTAAAAACCTTATGTGATAGTATTACAGTAGAGCAACTAAAAACAATATACGATTGCTATAATGGTGAACCTAACGCTATTGAAATATTATTCTAAGCCTTTAGTTTAATTAAATATTATAAATTTTGCGTTGGTGATTGTATTTTTTTTTCATTTCATTACCATTTATACATATAACACAAACATTAATTACAACATTCACAATAACCACATAGGGTTTAAACTAGGAATGCGTTGTGCAGACATTCACATTATTTTACATTGTTTAGGAACTGGCTTTAAACAAACCTTCAAACACTATTCAACTACTTATTATGAATAACAGATAAGAAACGAACAAATTGCAGTGCGATAACACACACAGGTAAAGCGCGTCACAGCACGGTTATAGACAACTCAACAAATACAGTGCAACTGCAAAGATAAGACATGGATTATACAGCGTGTTACAATTGCGTTAGAAAATATTGTTTATGATTATGTTTTATATTCGTTGGCGTCAATTTTTTTCTTAATTCTAAGCTAAGTTTATTAATTAGAAGAGGAATCAAATATGAACTGGTACGCTGGCCATTGGTATTATTGAATTTGGGCACTTTTAATTTTTCGTTTGTGATTTGGCGTGTAGTAATTCTGTGTTCCTTTGGTTTTTGTATGTTTAAGTTAAAGAATTGTTCCTTGAGTATGTTATAATTTACGAAATCGTATACGGGCAGGGTTTTACATATTTTAAATAACATGCTATCGTTATTAACACATTCAAGTTTCATTTTGGGCGATACAATATTTTTAAGTATTCTTATTTGCAGCTGATAGATACTATTAATATAAGTTCGGTATGTACGTCCGTAACTACTTAGTCCATACAACAACACTGATATTATAAAAGCGTTGTATAGAAGTAATCGTGTATTAAATGGGATTCGGTTCTTAATAATAACAATATTAGCCAAGAAAGGGGCCGTCCATATATTACGTCATTCTAAATTAGGAGGGGGGGGGGGTTGGTCTGGGAATGACGGTAAATGATAGATAGGGGGGGGGTGTTTCGAAATTGACGTCATTCTTATTTATTTATTTATAGTTTATTGTTCACGTACAAAAAGATTATTTCTAAAAAGAAATTTCTTCCAGCACACCTAGTAAGTGAGACTGCAAATGTGAGAGGCGGCTAAGGCGCGTACAATACTAAAATAACTCATAATAAACATACATAATGCAACATAGATGTACACAAATACAGTAATAACTACAGATAAAATACTCTAACAATAATATTACATATAATACTAGCTTTTCTCAAATCTGCAATGTTTTAATTTTGTCTAACTGGTAATGACGTCAATTTTGGGAGAAAGGAGTTGGGGGGTCATTAAGAAATGACGATAGGATGATTGTAGGGGGGGGCGGGGGGTGTCTAAAATCTGAAAAAATCGATGACGTAATTTATGGACGGCCCCAAAGCTCTAAGTTTTTGACAAATACGGTCAATATGGGATTTTCAGTTTAAGTTGCTATCTATTACAAGGCCTAGGTATGTGTGGTCTACAACTTCTATAGGTTGGCAATTATTTGGACAAGCTGAAGCTGGTATTACGCTATGGAAACATGGGTGATTGTGTGATATTAGTTGTTTTTTCAGAATGTTTCTTTTGTACGGCGAGCTAATGTGGACTAATTTAGTTTTCTGTGCGTTAAGGACCAGACCTGCGTCATGGCACCATCTACCGAGTGCGTCGAAATCAGTCTGGAGTTTTTCCAGTGCTTCTTTGACATTATTATCAGCAAGAAGCAGGCAGGTATCATCTGCGAACTGCAAAGAAGTGCAATGACTTAGCATATTATTAAGGTCATTGACGTAAGCCAGGAAGTGGACTGGTCCTAGAACCGAGCCCTGGGCTGTGCTTTCGGTAACCTTTTTGTCTTCACTGTAGGAATCTTGTATCTTAACACAAAAAGACCGACCGCGTAGATACTCTCGACACCATTCTAGTAGTGGGCCTTGTAA